TTTGAGTTTTTTTTTAAAACTGTTATGATGATGTTGCTTTAAGAAATATCTAGGTCTTTTGCCCCTTGAGCAAACTGTCAACCCACGCACCAGAGGGTTTTGGGTTTGATTCCTGGTCAGGGCACATACCTGGGTTACAGGTTCGATCCTGCATGTGGGAGGCAACCAGTCAATGTGTCTATCTCATATCAGTGTTTCTGTCTCTTCCCCACCCACCCTCCCTTCTATCCTAAAGAAAAAAAAAAATCAATGGAAAAAGATCCTCAGGTGAGGGGGAAAAAAACCTGAGTCTTGGCTTCTTGCCTTCCTCCCTGAACAACATGAGCTCTAGCTTTCCCACGATTTTTTACAGAGAGGAAGGGAGAGAGATAGAGAGCTAGAAACATCGATGAGAGAGAAACATTGATCAGCTGCCTCCTGCACATCCCCCACTGGGGAAGTGCCCGCAACCCAGGTACATGCCCTTGACCGGAATCGAACCTGGGACCCCTCAGTCTGCAGGCCGACGCTCTATCCACTGAGCCAAACCGGTTCTGGCTGTCAGTCTCTTTAAATGCATGTTATACAGTACTTGTATTTGAAATCTATATAATTTTGAATAAATATTATATGCTGCATATTATATTTAGGTCACAACAATACTTTAAGGAGGTTATATATTTTATAGATGAAACAAAGGCTGATAGAGGTCAAGTGATTTGTCCAAGAAAATACTAGTATAGCTAAAGTATAGGAGCTAGAACATAGAGGCTAGTGGAGTGGTCAAAAGAAAAAAAACACCACCACTATGAATTCATAATCGAGATAAACTGAAGTTCTGGTGAATTGGTACAGAATTAATACAATACTAGTTCTGATTAGTTTAGGGCTTGTAGAAGACTACGATCTTAGCCTCATCAATTATTTGTTGTTTGACTTTTAAGTTACATTACCCTCCATTAGCTTCACTTTCCTTTTCTGTGAAACAGGGATAGTAATTGTACCTAAATCACCAAATTCACCAAGTCACTACCTTTTTTTATTTTTTTAAATCCTCACCCGAGAAGGTTTTTTCATTGATTTTTAGAGAGAGTGAAAGGAACGGGGGAGAGAGAGAAACATTGATGTGAGAGAGACACATTGATTGGTTGCCTCTTGCACGAGCCCTAACTAGGGCCCAGGACTGGGTATCGAGCCTGCAACTGAGATACATGCCCTTGACCAGAATTGAACCCGGGACACTTCAGTCTGTGGGCAAACTGACCAGAGCAAGCAACTACTTTTAAAGATTGTTTTTAGTGTGAGTAGGTCATAGCTCCAATAGTTTTTTAGCCTTTGTTTTTAAAAATAAACAGCAGGAAGTAGTGCTGACTTCCCTCTTCTCTTTCCAGTAAAACAAAAAACAAATCAATTTATTAACCCACAAGATAACTGTCATATTTTGAAGTTTTCATGAACACATATCAGTTCTAACAGGATATAGAGCCCTAGCTGGTTTGGCTCAGTGGATAGAGCATAGGCCTGTGGACCAAAGGGTCCTGGGTTCGATTCCAGTCAAGGGCATGTACCTTGGTTGCAGGCTTCTCCCTGGCCTGAGCTCTGGTCGTCTCCTGCAGAAGGCAACCAATGGATTTGTTTCTCACATCAATGTTTCTCTCTGTCTTTCTCTCTCTCTCTTCTACTCTCCCTAAAACTCAGTGGAAAAATATCCTTGGGATGAGGAGTAACAAAACCAACCAACAAACAAGCAGGACATAGAAACAGTATGTAGATAGTTTTTCACATTCTCTATAATTTATTTAAATTAAGATGGATGTCTTCTGGTCATTGTCTTTGGAATAGGCAAAATATTTGAACAGTTCTCCTTTTTGGTCCGTGTGTGTGCACGCGCACGCACGTGTGTCACGCCTATACACACATACTAGTGACTCAGTGCATGAAATTCATGCACATTAAAAGGGAATTAGAGGAAATATTTTAATATTGCTATTTGCCCTTTCTCTATAATAGAAGTGTCAGAGGTGAAAGAAAATTACTACAATGTATATGAAAATCTTCCTCCTGTCAGAGTCTGGGGCACGCTATGGAATCCAGAGTCAAGTCCCCGCCCACCCACGTGCACCTCAAAATTGCGTGAGACCCAGACCTGGCCGGCCCCACCCCTGTCAAGCCCTGCAGGGTAGGGGGTGCGGCCTTAGGTTGCCTGGCCCGGGGTGGGGTGCGTGGCTTGAGGTCCCCGTCAAGCCCTGCAGGTGGGGGTCGCAGCCTGAGTTTCCCCGTCAAGCCTCTCGGGCGGGGGGCGCGGCCTGAGGTCCCCTGTCAAGCCTCGCCAGGCAAGGGGCGTGGCCTCAGGTCCCAAGGCCCAGTGCCGGAGCGGGGGGTGCGGCCTGAGGTCCCCTGGCACTGGTGTGGGGGGTGCGGCCTGAGGTTCCCGTCAAGCCCTGCTGGGTGTGGAGCTCAGCCTCAGGTCTCCTGCTCTGGCCCAGTGCCACGCAGCCTCAGGTCCCTGCTGATTGCTAGTTAAGGCTTGTAATGGGAACTTGACCTCCCCTGTGGGTTCAGCCATCTTGTGTTATGAAATCCCTGCCTCCTTTGTGGGTGCAGCCATATTGACTGTTATGGTGTGATGGTCAATTTGCATATTCCCTCTTATTAGATAAGATCTTTTAATGATTTTTTACAGAGAGGAAGGAAGGGAAAGGGATAGAGAGTTAGAAACACCAATGAGAGATAAACAGCAACCAACGTACATGCCCCTGACCGGAATCAAGCCTGGGACCCTCCAGTCCACAGGTCGACGCTCTGTTCACTTAGCCAAACCAGTTAGGGCTGGCCCTATTTTTTAGTAACAATGTCTGTCTTCCTCCAATAAAAGAACAAGTTAAAGTTGTCAATATAAGGTCTTTATTTTGTTTATTGAAGCTCAAGGTTAGGGTAAGGATAAAGTCTTGTAGTTGTTTTTCCCAAATGCATAGTGACCTGTCCCATATTGGGAATCAAACTAATGACTTTTAATATAATTAAGTACCATTTTGTATAGCACTGCTTTTCAAATTTGGATCTGGGAATCTTGTTAAAATGTAGTTATAGGTCTTTGGTGAGGCCTGAGATTTTGCATTTCTAACAAGTTCCCAAGTATTCCACTGCTGCA